TCATCATCTTCATCACCATCATCATCATCATTTTTCTTCACTGTCCTCATCATCACCGTCTTCCTCAGCATCATCATCATCGTCATCATCACCTCCAGCAGCAGCAGCATCCTCGTCACCATCATCACTTTGCACAGTTGCATGTTCTCTGTACCTGCTCCGCACAGTCAGAGGCTCTTGGCCCATCTCTTGTTCAGTCAGAAAGTCCAAGCACCTGCTGCATACCCTACCCCAGCTGGGCTGAACGGTGACTCTGTTGGCTGGGTCAGGCTATGACCCCAGGCCCACTTCCCCCTCTTCAGCCATGCCCTGACCCATGTGTGTAGCATGGGGGTGGGTCCTCTGCCCTCCCTACGGCATCCTGGGCATACAGGGGGGTGGTCAGGCGGCACCACCCCAAGCCCCGGGACTGGTCAGTCAGTTTTGACTCCTAGAACACAGCAGCCACTGTGAGCACACCTCAGGGTAGAGAGGCACCGCCATGCACCCAGCTCCCCACCTTGGAAACCAGTAGAGGGGTGGTGAAGTGTTGCTGGGGGCACTGCCATCTGCTGGCAGGCTGCAGTACCGCAGGTCATGCATCCTCCCGGGCCACCGCAGCCACCCCACCCCCACCTTCTGCCTCCCCACTTGTCCCCAGTCCCACTCTCACCCGAAGACTAGCAGACACTGCTGTGTCGTATTCTCTCCATAACTACTTCTTTGTAATTAGTTGTCACTGAGTCAATTCCGAGTCATGGCGACCACATGTGTGCAGAGTAGAACTCCACAGGTAACAGCTGTACTGAGACATAATTCACACACATTATCTACCCCCGGAAGTGAACAACCAAGTGGCTGTCAGTGTATTCAGAGCTGCGTAGGCATCACCGCAGTCAGTCTTAGAGCCTCTTCACCAACTCATGTGCCCTGTGCCCACTGACCAATGCTCCCAGCCCTGTTGTTGGTGCTGGGGTGACCCCATGTGGCAGACCACAATTGCCCCATTGGGTTTTCTAGGCTGTAAGTAGGACTAGATCTCCAAGTCTTTCTCCCACAGAGCTGCTGGTGGCTTCTCGCCACTGACCTTTCCACAAGGCATCACAAGACCTCTTCCCTAGCCCTAGGCAACCACTGACCTCCTTTCTGTTACTGTAGGTGTGCCTGCTCTGTGCATTTCATACACCTGCAGTCACACCCTGTGTGGTCACTGGTGACTATCTTCTTTCACTCAGCATAGTGTTGAATTGCTGCATAGTACCCCAGTGTGGAGATGCCAAGTTTTCTTTATTCATCCATCAGTTGATGGACAGTGGAATTGGTTCGACATTTTGGCTGTAGGGTATAGTGCTGCTATGAACATTCACACGGAGCTTTCTGAAGGGTTGCATTTCTCTTGGGTCTGTACCGAGGAGCGGAATTGCTGGCCATGTGGACTCCCTCTGTCTAATCACCTCAGAAGCAACCAGACTGTTAGCACAGTCACTGCACCCTAATCTCTCTTCTTAATGTCCTGCCTGTTCTGTCCCCCTTTCCTGGATACCAGATGGTAAGTGTTGGGGCCCAAGAGACCTGGCACCAGCTCTGACATGCCCCTCACTGCATGTGACTTGGAGAAGAGTCCTTGCCCTCTCTGAGGCTCTGTTTTCTCATCTGCAAAAGACAAATCATAACAGCAAGCAGCTGACACTATCCACATCCCCTTGGCCCTCGCCCTTCCATGCACAGACACCCTAAGACTTTCACCACAGGCACAGGCACAGGGTTTCTTGTCCACAGTGTAATCCAGAAGTTCGGGGCATAACCATCCCAGTGACAGCCCTCAACTGAAGAAGGACTGGAAAAAAATACAACCCATGGCCATCTAGTGTCCTTTAGAGGACAGAGTGGAACTGCCCCACAGGGTTCCAATGCTGTCAATCTTGATGGAAGCTGACTGGCTGCCTCTTCTTCCTCCTGCAGAGTGGCTGGTGGGTTCAAACCACCAACCTTTTGGTTAGCAGCTGAATGCCTTAACCACTGTACCACCAGAGCTCCTTTAAGAAGGACTGAGGTTATGGATCAACAGTCCAGGGGTCTCATCCCTCATGTGGGTTGTTGTGTCGGACTGGCTGTGAGTGTGGCAATTAACTAGATAATTAAAGGTTGTGTCTGGTTTTGTAAAGAAAAATACCAAGGCACTGTAAGAAAAAGATAAGAACAGATGCGGAGAGGGTGGTCCCCGAGGGCCTCTGCGAGGAGAGATTGATAAGGGGCAGCCAGGTGAAGGGCAGAGGGAAGATTAGTCCTGGCCAGTCATGTGTGCAAAGGGCCTGTGGCAGGGAAGAGTGTGGGATGGACAGATATGTGTGGCTAGAGTGTTGGTCAAGGAAGGGTGAGGGGCACAGGAAACAGGAGAGCTGAGAATGGCCAGGGCAGCATCCTGCTGGAAAGAGCTGAGTATTTAGAACAGATCAGCTGCTGTATGTTTGGAGGACCAGTCTGCTCTCCCGGGACAAGAAGGACTTTCAGATAGGTTTGTTTTCTCCTTGAGAGAGTTCATGGAGAAAGGTCAGAGACAAATGTCTTAAAAGAACCCAGTCTGAAGCACCCAGTGGGCCAGCCAGTCTTTTCTGAAAGCCCCCTGTTGTACAAGTGTCCAGCCAGCATCCACCACATGCTTGGCACAGGTGAAGGGGGGCCCTGGGAGTGGCTCTGTCCTCAGAAAACTTTGCCCTCAGTTTAGTGGGGATCTGGGTCCCATCTGGACTACTGGATCATCTGACCTATGTTATCTTCTCTGGACATCAGGCTTCTCAGGGGTCAAGCGATAGTAGTAACCCCTGCTTGCAGGGCTGTGTGAGGACCCTGGGAGCGCCCATGTCATGCATGTGGAAAGGCTGGGGCTGAGCCAGCCTTTAATGAAGGGGTCTTTGGGTGGTCCTTGCCACAGATGGCGCCAGGGTTGGTGTGGGGACCTCACAGCTGACATTCCACAGCCTGATGACCCTGTAGGTAGGTGTCATTATTGTCCTCAGAACAAAAGAGGACACGGAGGGTGCTTGAGGTTAGAGGTTGCACTGGCCTCACAGTTTGTGAAAGGGGCATGGAGAGTGAATCCCAGGGTGGCCCATGTTCAGTGTGCAACCCTCACATGCCCACAGTGCAGCCAGTTTCCCACCCCTGCTCCCAGCCCTTCAGCCTGGATCTTTCCATGTCCAGGGAGGCTCACCTTGCTGGTGAGGTGGGGGCCTACAATTTGGCTCTGAGGTTGCTCAGTTGTTACTTTGGTGGCAGTTGGTGGTGGGCTGGGCACAAGGCTTTGGCTCCTGAGAGCAACATCCTGATTGACTGTGCCCCCCTCAGCCCTTCCCAAATTTCTCAGGTTGCTGATGCCAACCGGCTGCCTTAGAGCCACACCCCTCCCACCATGAGCCTGCAAGCTCCTGCTGAGCATGGGCGGGGTCTTGTCTCTTTGGCCTCCTGCCCAGCATGGGTTTTGGCTTTTGACTGATGTTGACATATGCTGACTGGATGGTAGATGAGGAGGTGGGTGGATGGATGGATGG